CTGAGTCTTCGTTAATTTATTGTGAATTTTTTCTTCCCCCATAGGAAACAATGGAGCTGTCAGATTTTGACAGCTGTCAAAAGTTGGGGGGAAAAAATTCACCATAAATTAACGAAAAGTCAGATCAAAGCCAAATCAGATTTGCACATGACTTAGGGGGTCCTCTAACGAATCCAAACATTTAGAACCATTTTTGACCCTTCTAAGACACTTTTTAAATTGAAAAAAGAAACATCGTTAAGTGAAGCAGGGGACCTAAAATCGCATTCGTTATGCGAAGCATGGTCCCAAACTTCGCTAAGCAAAAATCGCCCATAGGAAACATCGTTATACCGTGCATATTATTTTCTTAAAAAACACATTGTTATGCGAATTCATCGCTAAATGAGGCAATCGTTAAGCGAGGCACCACTGTATGTGCCAATTTCTTCATCACATTTCCAACAAGCCTTAGAATAATCTGAATTTATTAGAGTGAATTTCACCGGAGTCATATACCAGCTTAAACTATTTTTTTAAAAAAATCCTTTATTCTTACTGATATTAATCTTAAAACTCTCATCTTCCAAATTTGTGTCCAATCCTCTGTTTTAATTTCTATCTTTAAATCATACTCCATATCTTTAAAGGTACAAAGAGAATTTCTATGTCATTAGTTTTCAAACACGGCCCTATGCAATTCAGCCCACTTAAGCTGTCTATGTATTCTCATTTTCATTTGTCGTATCATTGTACAAAAGTAATCCAACTACAGTGCCATGAAAAGCTGAATTCTGCAGCCTGGACTAACTGTACAAATCAAATTAGTTTGAACAGATGTCCTTATTATGCAAGCAGAGAGACAGAAATTTTATTAGGGAATCAAAGCTCCACCTACTCGATCAACCTTACAGGCTTCAGATTAATGTCTCTTTTGAATAAAACGAAAACAAATTCTTGGAATCTGTGGTCAATATCAAATTATGTGGCATTTCCACAATTGTACTGAATTTCTAAATATATACAGGCCAGCCTACACCAGTCAGTTTATGACTACTTATTAGTCTATGAAAGAGCAAAGACAAACAAACAGATGTTGCCCTTTAAAACATTTCTGTGGCAAACTGCATGCATTTCCAGAAACATAAAACAATTCACATACTTCCTGTCCTGACAGATAATAGGCTGCAAGTAAGCCACCAATGAAGCGGATGTTGACTTCAAAGACAGACACCTCTGAATTCTAGAACATAAAAAAGGGAGATTCATTAAGAATAAACTAGGTACCAGAATATTACATTTATAAGTAAAACACATTATTGTGGGTTCCTGTATCTGCTGCTAGTTAGACTAATTCTGTACCAGCACCATTGGTTATATGGATCTAGTAAGATCTATAACAGGGATAGGCAAATTAATAGCACAAGCATCTGTCTGAGTGCCTGCAAAATGAAAATAAATAACCATGTTTATAGTTACATCAAAATCTAGCCAAATTTGTGGTTTATATAAAGTGATACACTTTTAAAATGTCCCAGCCCACACCACCCCATTGAAGCTACTAGCAGTTTCACTTCTGCTAAAGTGGCTTAAGCAAACAGATCAACCAATGGCTAAAGATGCTAACCTATCCTGAACCTATGTGATGTCGTAATCAACAAATGATTGTTTAATTCCATTGATACAACGGGCCTTTGTTGTGGTTGTTTAGTCATTAAGTTGTGTACGACTCTCTGTGACCCCCATGGACCAGAGCACACCAGCCCGACTTTTCAATGGGCTTACTTTAGTGCAACTTACTATGCTGAGCAGCAGGATTTTAGCATAATACTCTTAAAATTATCATTAAATATTCCTTAAATGGTCATATAAGTAACCCTGTGTGTGATATTTCCATGCTGTCTATAGCCAATGTCAAGAAGAAGGCTTCAGATGCTTCACAAGAGAACATGAGAACAATGCTAACCTTTTCATAGTAGACAGGGTTGCCAGTCAGGTAGCTGAGATGTACAAATTCCATATGAAGTGTCCCAAACTCTGACAAGATGCTGCTGCCAGCAGAAGCCCAACCCCAATTGCGACCTACGCCACTGGTGAAAGGAAGAATTAATTTGAAAAAATCACAGAAACGCAAGATAAATACATATTTGAACCACATCAAGGAAAAGCAGTAAGGAAGAACTCACAGGGAAAGTATCATGCACATATGTGAATACTGCAGGTAGCTTAAATAACCTGAAGCAGATTGAACAGACAGGCAGTTTGCCGTGTATAGACTCTTTATGCAAAACATAACAGATCTCAGTAGAACTTGAACAATCCAAATCTACCAGGAATAGCTAAACATAAGTGTTCTGCACCATACGGTTGTCAATATGTTCCTCCCTCTAAATCTCATACCTTTTTAGATTCACCATTGCCCAAGGAATTCCTGTGGGTGTGTTGAAGGCTGGAAGAAGTTTCCCTGCTAGCTGCACTGCTTTTATCTTGAACACCTGTAACAGAAAAAAGAAGGCTCACCTCCTGTCCATGACCTACAGAGCAATTCTAATATATCTTGACTCGGGAGAAAGCCCCATTTCATTCAATGTGGTTTATTTATGGGTCCAAGTGCATAAATCCTTAACTGGAATTACAGGAATAGCAACAGATCCAGCAACTCTCCTCAATGATGCACCCAATTCTTGACAGGGGAAACTTTCATAAGCTGTCCCTTAACATTCTCCTTTCCAAGTCCTGCTTATGAGGGAAGGTGATACATGACAGAGACCTCTTTATTTTTTGTCAGTCATTTGAGCCTCCTTCCTCTCAGCAAATATGGCAATTCTTATTCCATCCTACTGGCCAATTATCACCAGCTTTGAGGTAGTTGCATTCAAAAACATCAGTGCTGACATCAATCTGTAACAAATTCCCTATGAAATTTTCTGGATTTTCCAGTAGCTGATTTACAATCTTTTCACATACTTCCAGTCTTCAGCACTACATTATCACATTAATGGCCAGAAGTCTGCTCACTTCTTACTTAAGGAAGATCACATATGTTTTTAGTGCCTTCTGTCAGTTTCTCCGTCATACACTCAGTATTTCAATCGTTGCAAAATTGGCTGTGCAACTGCTTGTGTACCTGAATATGCAAAGGGAAGCCAACAGAAGGGTAAAAACCACCATATGGTTTTCTTATACACACAGAGTTTGTGCACTGGATTTTGGCCAACAATAATACAGTATTGATGTAAGCTTGGATGCAGCCTATAATCACAGGTTCAAGGCCCTTAAAAGACATTCTGAAACAAAAGTGGAAGGAAACAGCAACCATTTTGATTTCTAATGTGGGATGCTGATGGGCCCCTAAGAGGTCTTCGTACACTGTTCAAGGTACGTCAGACTTTTGTCTACAGAAAGCAAGGAGAAAAATTCTGCTCCTTAAGATGAGCTTGTCTGAAGGAAGAACTAAGAATCCAGTGACAATGGCAAATAAAAAGGTAAGCAAGATGGATAACCATTAAGGAACAAAACTGAATCCAGAAGCTTGAAGGACTACATATTCAGGCCACTACGGTCCTCACACTACTGTGAATACCCACATGCAATCCTGGGTGCTGACTCGGCAGAAGTGGAGGAACTGCTTAACCCTTCACTCCTATTTCCCTACTCACAATGCCTTATTCTTTTTTTTAATTTATTTTTTGAATTTTCAAAACAAAACAAACATCAGGCACCAAGCAGAATTAGAAACCACAGTTTCGGCTATGATTTGGAGTTTCACCTGAATTAACCACAATTACCACAAATGTCACAGGAGTTCTAAGCAGACAGGAAACAACTCAAAGTGACTGGGTATGCCAACAGTGGGGGTGTGTAAATTTGTACTAAAATGCTCTATTATTTGTCAATGTACAAATGCATTGATTTCTATACGTAGTTGAAAAAAATATTTTACTGCTTAATTTTTTTGGCTAAAATATTGTCAATCCAGCAAACTGAATTGGCAGTGATGCCAACTGGTAAGGACTCTTAAAAATAGCACCTTGAATTGGGCCAAGAAACAAACTGGAAGTTTATGAAGTCGATGACATCATGGAGTAATGTTTTGTACTGGCTACTCCCAGTTAGCAGTTCCACAGCCATAACCCATGTCCTATAGTAGTCCTCTCCCTGAGACCAAGGAGCAGAGGTCTGATGAATGGATATGGTTAAGAGTTATTGAAGGTAGCCTTTATCTACTGAAAGCAGGATGAACAGATTCTGTTCAAGAGCAAAGGGGGGAGGCTAGCTATGGCCACATCTATCCCTCGCTGGATTTTCCCCAGGAGTGTAGTTTATTACCAAAGGAAAATGTGAGGGGTTTTCCTGAATTTCCCACACTGGTAGGATTATTTCAATTCTTTATTTTCTGAACTAACAGCCTAGGAAATTAGCAACACCTGCCATCATCAAGTATGTAGTTATTAGAGAGAGAGAAGAATGTGGCCAAGGATAACTCACCTCATACTGAGGCAGGTCAGGTGGCCATGATATTTAACAGTGATGAGGAAGATACTTTGGTTATGCCGACCTGGTAATGCTAAGCAAGATGACTGATGTGGACCAAAAAATTATTCTCTCTCAGAAGGTACAGTAAGAGTGAAACAGTGTCTGGAGTGCATAATCTGCACCTCAGCTATCTCCTCTGCAGCACTCGTTTCTCACCATCTCAGCAAGCGCAGGAAAAGACAAATAAATGCTCAGATGAAACGGAGCTTGTGCTTCTGTGTTCAAGGTAAGGAGCCATTTGGGGAGAAGCCTCTTCCCTGCTTTAAGACTAGAGACAATGTTCCTCATTCCAGAGAAGGGATTTTCCCCAAGCTAGCTGCCTTCTTCCTCTAGATGGGAGAATACATTTCACAGGGATGTGTCTCAGAGAGAGGGAGAGAGAGAGAGAAAACACACTGCCATATAAGGAAGAAAGTGTCTGTGGATCAATTGACTTTTACATTTAAAAGGTTGCGTTAACATTTCATAATTGGTTGCAAACTACGTCTTAAAGAGATTTCACTCAACAAAGAATAATAAATTCTAGCATCAATGGAACAGGCTAACAGAAATGAATTTAAATATGAAGATAGGGAGGAAAAAAATTCAAATCTCAACAGGTTAAAAGAAAACCTACTTACCACACTGAAATCAAGGTGATTGTCAATCCATTCCTGCCCTTCTCTAAATTCATCATGAAGGCCCATAATGAACAGGGTATCCAACGCATCTACTATAGTAGCACCCAGCTGAGAATTTCCTATGGACCAAAAGCCAGAATTTTCATTTTAAAACCTTCACTTATATTCATCATCTTCCCTTCTAGTATTACTACCTAAACTGAAGCTATGTTTTGCAAACAGTTGATTTCTCCAAGTATAAAGACCAGAGAAAGAAAGGAGGATGCAGACAAAGAATAACTTCCACACATATTTATAACTTGCCAGTGTCTACAGCTTTTTTCCCCCATAAGCTTGCAAGCTTATTCTAAAACTGTAGTTGTTAGCCTTCCACTCTAAGCTGGCAAGTCCTCCATGCCTTGGTCTTGCCCACCGAAAAGACCTGCAGGTTAGCAGCCATTCGGGTGGCACTAAATGGGGATCCTGAATGTTTGCGACCACTACTTCTTAACATCACACCCTTCCACCAACCTTCCCTGACACACGTTAGTGGGAAGGGAACTTTTGGGCAACGCTGGCTGGAGGGGCCCAGAGCACCACTCAGCAGCGTTACCTAACAGCGTTGCCAAGTTCTTGCCATTTTTCAAAAAGAAGGGCTCAGTCAGTGGCTGAAGGAGCAGTGCCCGCAGATGCTACTCTTCCAGGGCGCCTTTCAAAACAGAGAATGCAACCAGAGGTCGGGCAACACTGGGCAGCAATTTCCTGAGGATCTCTCAGCAGCAGTGTTTCTGAGCAGCCAAGGAAAGCATCTACCTATTTGACCCTGTACGTGTATAGCCAAGGCTTTCCGGAATTCAGGCTGCTAAGTGCTGCTAAGCTGCTGGACTTCAATCACACTCAGCGGGGGGTAGCAGCTCACTTGCCCTTGGCAAATAGTTTTAGCACAAGGTCTGTTGCTTTTATTTATTTGCCTCATTTACATCCCTTTATTGTATAGCTGGGCGGCAGGGAAACAAGTGCCTGGTATGGCGCACAATTAAAATGTGGATTGCCAACCTGAACAGCTCAAGAGGGGAGCTGGTCAAATTCAGGAAAGCTGGCAGTAGTTATTAATCCTGATGGGCAGATACCCTGAGCTAACTGTTTCCATAGATCTGTTTGTAGGAGGCACAAGCAGCAGGGCGCCGTTGTGCTCACCTTCCGTTCACAGGCTTCCATGAAGTCTCTGGCTGACTGCTGTGTGAACAGAATTGCCAGCCTAGATAAGCTTCTATCTGGATCCAGCAGGATCCCTTCTTCTGTTCTTGTAGGAAATAAGAATCCTTTTCCATCTCCTGGAAACATCCTTCTAGTGCAGAAAAACAGCTGATTTGATTTTTAACCTCACAGCAGATGTGCTATGAGGCAGCAGGTGCCCGAGCAGGCAGCCCACTCTCCCTCCTTCCATCGGTCCATCTCCCTTACACAGATAACTCACTAACATACCATACAGTATATGTTTTCACCGGTGTCACAGCCTCTGAGCTTGTCTAAACTCTTGGGTATGTTTTCACCTCTAGACTCAAGGTCTCTTCCGGTGTTACAGCCTCTGAGCTTGTCTAAACTCTTGGGGAGCCGCCTACCTTCTAGGACTGCTTTGTTCACTTGAACAACAATGACAGGCAGGCTCTACATGCAGGCAGTTCTTGATCATATATGTGGAGCCTGTATGCAGGCAAGATCTTTTCCTTGCATATTTCTTGCTGCTTACATGAGCAAAGTGGCAGAAAGGTCAGGGATGCCCCCCCAGTGTCAAAATGTGAAAAGTTGTGTATATTGAGTGTTAAATAATTATAATTAATAATTCCACATACATTATTCTAGACTGAGCTGTCACAGGAAAATGGCTCATACACTCGCACTGGTTCTTAACCTTTGCAACTCAAATGTTTTTGGACTGCAACTCCCAGAAGCCTTCACCATCAGTTTTGCTGGCTGGGGTTTCTGGGAGTTGCAGTTCAAAAACACCGGAGTAACAAAGGTTAAGAACCATTGTTCTAGAGCTGTCACAGGAAAATGGCTCATACACTCCATCTAGGCTGAGTGAGATAATGTCTCTCAAATAATTTGCCAATAGGCAAAGGACATAATCAACTGCATTTCTCCCTTTGCCCCTTCTTTCAAACTATCAACAGTATCATTAGGTGTTTTCCAAGAAGTGAATTCCTCTCTGAAGACACTAATCTTGTTATATCAGCTTCTTGAATTACTTCTTCCCTCCTGCTTTCTCTATTTTTGCCCTTTGTGTGTGGAGTGCTCTTCCAGTGTTCAGCTGGGCTCTTGTTTTTTATTTTATTTTGGTTTGAAAAGACTTGTGCTAATTGCTGTATTTGTTAAGTCTTTCCCTCTCCCATTTGCTCTCAGGCACTGCAAGGTCTGCTCTTTACCATCAGTTCTCTGCAATGAGGCATCAGAATATTTTTCCTATACAGCACTTAATGTGTGTTAGGCACATTTTCAGTAACAAGCAATTTGCTTGATGCACTTCTAGTAAATCCACTTTCAACAGTGGTCCTGTTTAAATAGAACAGTAAGCCAGAAGTACTATGGGAAACCTTGATTTAGCATGAACAGACTGCATGCTACAGTGGACCCTTGACTTACAGACGGCTTGACTTACAGACCTTTTGAGTTACAGGGTAAGCCAGAAGTTTGGGAAACCTTGATTTAGCATGAACAGACTGCATGCTAATATGTGTTTGATTCCTTTGACTAAGGCAGATAACTACAGTCCCGGGAGCTGACTTGGTATTCCCAGACAAGCCAATGTTTGTAAGCTGAAAAAAAGGGTCTGGCTCATAAATGCTGTCAGGACTGACTGCAACAACCAAGGATCACTGTTTCAGACGCTATGACAGCATTTTGATTCCTTTGACTAATGCAGATAACTACAGTCCCGGGACCTGACTTGGTATTCTCAGACAAGCCAATGTTTGTAAGCTGAAAAAAAGGGTCTGGCTCATAAATGCTGTCAGGACTGATTGCAACAACCAAGGATCACTGTTTCAGACGCTATGACAGCATTTCTGAATATGTAGCCTATTCACATTTTCTTCTAGAATTGCATCACAACACTGGGATTCATTCTGTTGACCCTACGTACATATGCTGCAGTTACACAAAAAGTATAGCGCCTCAGGTACCCTCTCTCTCCCACCCTATGTACATATGCTGCAGTTACACAAAAAGTACTGTATAGCGCCTCAGGTACCCTCTCTCTCCCAAATCTCCTACCCACAAATTATTTAGCATTAAGTGTTCATTTTAAAAAACAACCCTCAATGTAAACAGTTATTAAAGTCAGGCAACATGGCATAACTGGTAAAATTCTTCAACAGCAGCAAACATTACTGCAAAATGCTAAATAAATGTGGTAAATTTTAAAAGAACAGAATATTCAATATTTGAAATATACTTTTGGCATTCTTTATTTTTAAGGGAGATAAAAACAAAGTTCTCTTGCATAACCTATGCTGGCATGGGAGACATCAAGTAACAACAGCAGCAGATCACCAGTGATCAGGGGTCTATCTCCGATTCTGCATTGCACTGTAGTCGGATGACTTGGCCTCCAATCTGTTACTCTTTAATGAGCATCTGCCACTAATTAAATGAGTCGCTGCTTGGATTTCAGGTCATACCCAAATCCACTCATTTCTGCACAGTGAATTAGAAATCACAGCAGGGACTTTAATGAATGGCAATCTTGTCATTGTGGATACATTATTTCCCCTACGCACTGTAAGTCATGTATGAGGATTTTGGCCAGTATGGATGGTAACATACAACCACTCATATATTTTGGTTTTCTCCTATATTATACCTCCATGAAACAAAAAAGTTATCCAGCAAATATTCAAATTACCTTTACATAAGTATATAAAAGTTAATCAATTTCACTTGTCTGTATACCATAAAAACCTTGCTTGCAAAAAGGGCCATAATAAGAGAACCAAACTATGGGCAGATTTAAACAGGAGGAGGCCATCTATAAGATGCTAATAAACAACAACAAGCTGTCAAGTCAACTCTGACTTATAGTGACTCTCCTCGGAGGCTTTTAGGTATAAAGTAATCAGAGTACTCATTGCCTTCTTCCAGGATGTTCTGGGACTGTGTGCTTGCCAAAAGCTGCACAGGCTGGCTCTTCTCCGTAGAGGCACACTGGGAAATCAAACTCTCAAACACTAGCTCTACAATCAGATACCAAGCACAGATTAGAACCACCAGATAATCTATAAAATGGCTTGGCCTTGAGCCATTTAGGACTTTATGGATCATAATCAATACCACTGAATTGAATCAGAAGCTGGTATAGCTGGTTAAAGACTGGCAATATGTGTGAACATCAGATAAAGATGATGGCAGGGAACAGCCATGACTACCGCACATTTTGCCTTAATTATAATTGCTTAATTCTTTTCAAGGACAGCATAATTTCAAGCAGTGGTTCCCAACCTTGGGTAACCCAGGTTTTCTTAGACTGCAATTCCTAAAAGCTTTCACTTCTAGCTATGCTGGCCAGGGTTTCTAGGAATTGCAGTCCAAGGATGGGAAACATTGATTTAGAGCATCTTACAGTAATGCCTTCCCCAGGAGCACCAGCCAAAGTATTACTAGACAAAGCAGTCGCCTTAAACTCCAGAAACAATGCTGAACCCAAGAATGCTAATTAAGCTGCCAAATATCCCTCAGAGGGAGTCAAATGCTACCAAAAACAAGATGTACCCCCAAATCACAGAACTGCTGTTCCACTAAGAGATCATTTTGTATAGAATGACCCTTAATTTCTTCACCTATATCCAATTCCACACCACATCCAGAATTCAAGACTTCCACAGTCTCCTTGACCATCAACTGCAAGATAAGATAGCTCAGTATAATAATCACTGTGATGAGATCAAATCCAAAACGTTGGCTTTGTTCAGACACTAAAAAGCACAGGGGACAATACTGAGCTCTGAAGAACCCTGTAGAATAATATCCATGGGACCAATGAACAATGCCACAGAACTATTTTCTCCAATTGTTCAGCTAAAAACGATTGAAGGGTACCATGATCCATGTTATCAAATACTGCCAGAGGCCCAGCAGAGAACTAACAGGTAAACACAGTCCTGGTTCAATTTCTATGAACATTCAATTTCACAGAACATTCACTAAGCTGAGATGTTTCTTTTATATATTCTTATACATATATATTGTCCACAATGGGCTCATGCCTGGAAAGAGGAAATATCTCAGCTGCCAAAGTAACATATCCAAACCGCTCTCACAGTGGGCCATGCATTCAAGGGTGCTTGCCACTGCAAGAAATGCAGAATTTTGTGTCTACAGATACAAGGAGATGTTGTTGTTGCTCATCTAGTATGTATTACAGTACTTTCACTGGAGTGCACATCACAACATGCAAGTGTTGTTGGGAAGGATCCAACTCTGGGCCCACAGATCAGTGAACAACAGTAACAAAAAGGTGCAGAAAATATGTGGAAGTGTGAAGTAGGATTCCCCCCCCCAAAAAAAAATATTTACAGTATACTCCCAGATGTGGCAGAGCTTCATGGATGTATAGCCCAATCTTATTCTAAATAAAAATATTTATTCATTAGCCGATGTGGTCATGACAACAGGCCTATGTAACTTTTTCATTACAAAAATGCTTTAACTGTAATGTAACAGTCTAAGAATCCCAACTCCAGAGTATCAGTCATCAAATACGAGCTATTAAGCATTGCTTTTGGAAAAAGATACTGTAGGGGCAATGAGACAGAAAAGCTGTGGAAAAAAATGTGACGAAAAACCCAAAGGCAGAAATGGGACAAGGAGGAAGAAGATTCTACTGAAGATTAAAGCAGCTGAATTCAGCCTGGTGTGCAGGTTCCAGAATTCCAGCTCTCTTTTGCAAAGGCCTACGCAGATCTAAGTGGCGGCATTCTCATCAGTCTTTTCCCTGTTTCAGAACTGAGCCTGGCTACCAGATAGGCTTGCAAGCGTGGCTGTCCCCACTCTTACTTTAAGGGAACAGCACCTCATTAAGACTTAGTGGGAGTATGGCGCCTTGACTGGTTGCCAGTGGACAATGAACATTCGCCACAGGTAACCCCGTGGCAAACTGTACGGCTGTGTTCATTGATGATGAATAAAGATCTGAATACTCATTGACCTAATTCTCTGCCCCAGATATACATCCTCCTTGCAATTTGTCACCTCTCCCCGACCTAATTATTCTACTATTTCCTACTGTGATGTAGTTAGTAGTATAAGCAGCAAGTCTGGCTCTGTCCTAGAAAACCTGAGAAGAGGATGTTTTTAATGAAATGTTTCTGCCACAGCTACTTTTAGCAGAATAACCAGACTCCACAAAATATTAAACCACAAAAAACAATGAGAAAAATCTCACTGCCAATTTGTAACTCTGCCTCCACATCTGTAGGCTCAATAGCTAATAGACAGCCTTGTGGAGAAGCTGGAGGATCAAGGCTGCCATACAGCAAACAGGTGGGAGCTGTCTCCATGGTTAGGAAGTCCGGCTTATTATGTAACAAACAAGGTTGGGGGTTATAGCCATGGTGAGAGGGATGGGGATCAGGAACAGCTTACCATGTAGCAGGCAGAGTTACAGTGTGAAGCTTAGGCCCCTGGGACCGAAACAAACAAACAAACAAACCAAAAGGGAAGCGGATCCTTTTTTTACAAGGGAAAAGGAAACACGTGATCACAGCCCTGAGTGGAGACGATGGAAAATTGTGAAATGCCAAAGAAAACAACGCTGTTGGTAGCCAGCTTATTCCTGCTGCTTCCTCTACCTGTGCTTGCTCAGAGCCCTGGCGTCATTCGTGTCAGCCCAGAAAAAGGAGGCGATTATTGCTTCCTCTTCCCTTCCCAGTGGACGAAGTCACATCACAAGGGTAACAAAAATCCATGGTTTGTCCTTCAGCCGTTAACGGAGAATCTTACTTACTCCGCCATGTGTTGCCTACCTTCATTCTTTGGGGAGGAAGATCATGACGAGGGCGGACTCAGCAGCCGAATAGCATCTGTAAGGGAGGGCAACTGCAATTTCTTTGAGGGTGCCAGACTCCATCTAATAAACAGAACCCATGGTCTGTTGACCCTTGGTGGAGATGCGCCATATCCCATGAGAAGCTGGAGATCTGGACACAGCTGGGGTCACTGTGAGGAGATTACTATCCCAGGGGCACTGCTCAATGACGTGGACATTCTCTACTTGCTGCTGAAACACCTGATTAGGGACCTGCTATACAAAACTGGAATCATCTACCTGATGTCAATGGGGATAGTCACAATAGGAAGCTACTGGGCAGGATGCACAGAGAAAAAGAAACAGCAACATAGCAAAAGCCAAACAGGAGACTTTGGTGAGATTACAATTGATACCAACATCTATTTTACAGGTATTTATACATTATCAGCCACCTTCATGCTGTTTGCTCTCTGCTGCTTCTATGATTTCTTGGCTTATGCAATGATTGGCCTCTTCTGTCTATATGCCTCTATCAGCCTATATTATTGCCTGGCTCCATTTATGAAAAAGTTCCCATTTGGAGACCGCATCATCCATCTTCCCTATTTCCACAAAGATCTAGCAGTCAGAACATTACTTCTGGTAGTGCTGTGTACCTCTGTCAGCGCAATCTGGGTTATTTTCAGAAATGAGGAAGAGTGGGCCTGGGTTTTGCAAGATCTTCTAGGAATGTCCATTGGCATTTACATTCTGCGAACTGTTTACATGCCTACCTTAAAAAACTGTAGCTTGCTTCTGTTGGCTCATTTGCTTTTTGACACAGTCTGTCTGTTCATCGCTCCTCTCCTAACCCAAATAGGAAGAAGCATCACAGATGTGACAGCTTTTGGGTCATCTGGCTCAGAAAAGATCCCCTTTCTGTTAAAAGTACCAATGCTGTCCACAACTTCAATTCTGGATGGCAGTTCCTTCGCAAGCGTTGGCCTGGGAGATATTGTACTTCCTGGTTTCCTGGTAGCCTACTGCCGCAGGTTTGATGTTCGAGTTGACTCCACAGGGATCTATTTTCTAGCGTCTATTCTGGCTTACAGCTATGGTCTCCTGGTGAATTTTGTTGCAGCTACGGTCTTGCAAGCTAGTCAGTCAACCCTCCCGTACCTGGTGCCCTGTATACTCATCGCTACTCTGGCTGTTGCTGCTTCACGCAAAGAGATGATACTTTTTTGGAAAGGGATGGGTACTGGAGAGGACTCCTCCAACTACTCTTTGCACAAAGTCATCAAGCATCCAAACGGGTCAATAAATGCAGATGGACAAGTCTGCCAACGAGGAAGGGAAAAAGAAATTGTCAACATCACATTCTGCAAGGAAGATCTTACTGGCAACAGCACATTTGCCGAGGAGTCACCTGACCTGAAGACCCACCCTGGGGAGATTACTGACTGCATTCCAAGTCATGAAGGGTCAATCAGTCAACAGGATGCCTATAAAAAGGAAGAGGCCTGAGATGCATCACTCCATACAGCCGGGGGTAGGGGATGGACAGGGAGCGCAGGGCATTTCAGGGATGACCAAGTGCAAGTCAATTAAACCTCATTGGGGAGAAAAAAAAAGCTGTATCCTCACCTTTATTTGAAAATTCAGTCATTTAAAATGCACTGCTCATCATTTATCCACCCCTCTAAGTAACTTTCCACTTGTCTATTATTCTGAAAGAAGTAAGCAACAGAACCAACAATGAAGCCATGCAGCAGAAGGATCGATCAATGCAGATACTCACAGATTCACTTCTTAAAGGCTGGATTTACCAGAAACAGAAAGCACACTTAGGATACACAACATGGTGCCCAAAAAGCCATGCTATTTTTCACTCATATGAGCTAACGCTTTTCCCTATACAGAAAAGTCAAAACCCACCATCTGGGCAAGCTGTTGCAAAACCTGCCCTCCACCGCAGCACAAGGTTGCTTAGTCTTCACTGACAACAATCAGGTAAAAAATTTTAAATGGCTTCGAATTTTTAAAAAACTGTCAGAACAACATTCATACACATTTCCATGATGGACATTTTGCAAATCCTTCCATAGCAAAGTTGAATTCCCAAGTGCCTATCAGTGCCTCCGCCCCCAATAATAACAGGTTCTACATAGTTGTGGAGAGGATCTCTAGGTTAATGGGGGAATACAGAATAACAAATTAATTTAAAAGAAAGAGCTAACATCCGAAGCGTCTCAGAAAAGACCAGAAAGCTTTCAAAACTTATAGAATACTGAAGTAGGTGAATCAACTTACTTGACTCCTTAACAACTTATACTTCCCAGATGTGAGGATAAGGGTCAAGGAGAGACTTTCTGTGAAGTTTAAAGCCTCTTTACTCATATGAGAGGGTTCGGGAAAGAAGAAAAAAGGGCATCTTTGCTCTTTCTCACTGTTGGCGTGCACACACACACACACACACACACAAACACAATTCATAGCAATAAAGTGTTCTGTGCTGAGGTTGAACTTTAATACTGGGGGAAGGTTTCCAGATGTCCACCCCCCTGCCATACCTACAAGAACCTTGAGCAGCTATGAATGGCTCCTGCTCTGGGCCAGCTAGAGTTCTGAGCACTTGTTACAAGGCTTGGAATATACTGGCACCTTATGTTGCAGACTTACAGATACAAAATGGCAGGTTTCTCCACCCATACTTCAGCATTTCTATATCTGTAAGTGGGCAGCTCAGTGAGTCAGTTATGTGGCTGTGTAGCCAGAGGTTGGGAGTTCAATTATCCACTGTGCCTTCTACAAGCAGAGTCAGCTTGTATGGCCTTCGGCAAGCTATACGGTCCCAAGGCTGCCCACAGAAGAACGGAATGGTAAACCACTTCTGAGTACTCTCTACCTAGAAAACATTGAAAAGGGTCACTATAATCATCATCATCATCATCGAGTGAGCAGGTAGTGTGGAGTCTCTGAAAGCAGTTTCATGCACTGCTTACCAAAGGTCAGGTCAGGTCAGGAGCCACTGCAACAGGGGATGAAGCAGCAGCCCACATCTGCATTTGTGTGATTTTCCTGCTGTGTAATATTATGGAATCTAAAACCAACTAAAGTTAAAGCTTTCTAAAATTCACTTCTGGACAAAAGTATGGAAATAGTTAGCTATGGAGCTGACCCTGATTTCAACACCATGTAAGCAGCAAAATACTTAGTAATGTGGATTTTCCAGGGGAGGGGATAGTGATGAAAATATCCCTATGAGCAAAGCTAACTGGGAAAAGAATTTTATATATTTATTTGTTGTTATTAAACAAAATGTTTAAAACATATACAATGTGCCAACAGCAACTGACCTCAAGATTTCCATAAAGGTAGCCAGTTAGACTGTTGCAGGAAAAAAGGCCTAAATCCTATTGCTAGATCTAACTAGAACAGGCACACTGGCTGAAACCATATTACTTAGTAATTCAAAGTAAAATAGGGTTATTGAATCAACAGAATTTACAGAGGACATGTCTCACTAAATCCTCACTGATTAAATGCAACTACTATAGTTGCAATTTACTACACTAAGCAGCAGGATTTTTCTACAGTCGACACTTAATGCAAATCTCATTGATTCAATAGGTCTATTCCAGTGTGGACTAGCAGTAGGATTTTGGCCAAAAAATCTTGTGACATCTTTAATCTTTGGATTTCAGAGCTGGAAGGGGACCCTATGGATTGTGGAGACCAGCCCATGTCAAGGAGGCACAGTGGGGAATCGAACTCCCAACCAGATACCTAAAGTACTGAGCTATCCATCAGTTCTAAAGTTACAGGTTTTATTTGGCATATGTTTTGGGGGACTGCAGTCCAATAATTCAACACATGTGTGGATCATTTGAGAAAATAACTGTATACATGCCTGTATAGGAATGGGATGTGAGGAACAGAAATACAAAAGAGACAAACATTGATGGTTATCTTAAGATTGATTGTTCAACAAACAGCAGCTGGGACGCGACAAGGACATCCTAGTGTACATGAGCAAATCTACATGTATATGATGAAGAAAAAAAAATCTTCAACCAGCTCCTAGACTAACCTTGTTAGGCAGCATTGGGGATTGTAATGGGGGGGAGGGGGTGTCAAAAGAAATGGACTTACAAAAATAGCAGGCACTGATAATGAACTAAATTATCTTTAAACAAGGAGGTGATAGAATTCCTAAGTGCACCTACCCAGTGGCCTGGCTCTCTCCCCATCTGGTTCCCAGCCCTTTCTACTCTGATGTGGGGAAATTCGGGGAAGACACAGGGGTGAGAGAATCTACTGAATCGTTTTACCCCACTTTCTGTCACATAACCCCCGTTAATTTAAAATACTGTATGACTAAAGAGCATACTCTTGCCTTACACTGTCTCCATCAGGAAAAAAACCCCAAAGGCAGTGCAAATTGTGAACACATCACTTTTAACACACCTCAAAGAGCAATGCATTACAGAAACAGAAAAATATTTTTCTACAGCAAAACAAAGTAGCAACAAAGTCTCTGGCCCAAGTCCAAGGGGACCTAGGAGAGAGGCCGTTCTTGTGTTTTTCTGACTCTACATTGCAATATAAATGCAGGCACTTTGGAAATTCCCAGTTGGAACAACTGCAAAATTTAATTTCTCATTCTTCAGCCGCTGTGATGGAACAAATTTTATACAAAACAAAGGACTTCCTTCCATCCAGTTCTTCCGCTGCTTTCTAAAAGCCTGTCTGTGAACTATGCAAGGACTTTCCCTGATACGACGGGATGTCTTGAACTTACAAATAAAATCATCAGTTTAGACCAATACACATCACATGCAGAAAAATAATCCCATGAAATTGCTAGTGAACTATCCTTTAAACGTGAATAGTTCTCTTTAATTACCTTAATTAGGTAACATGTACTACAACAATATAAAGCAAAGCAAATTGTGCTGTTTATATACTGCCCCATAGTGCTTCAAGCACTCTCTGGGCGGTTTACAATTATGCAGGCTACACATTGCCTGCATAATTAATTAACCAGCATAATTAATAAGGAAGGAATGTTTATTTGGAATGTTCATAATCGGGAACCTACCAAATATGTTGGTGGAATGTCCTTTCCTGGCAATAGGTTTCAGTTCATTATGTCCCCATCCATATTGTCGATAATTATCCCAAGCATGTTTCATCATCTATGGGATGAAAAACAAAAATGAGATTAGTTAGCCCAAATCAGCAACGGATGCACTACCTAATCCTTGAAGGTAAGGGTGTCTTCCATTGCTAGAAGGAATTAGGAATCCTTCATTGCTTACTGGATGAAGGGGATGTGGTAGCAATTTACATAATTTTCCCCTCCTATGTGCAGCCCAATGCCCCTCACACACTGTTCTTGAACTTCCCCCAACACCACACAGATGATTTTGAGAAGGTCAAGGGCCTTCAAAAAGGGAGATCAACAAAAATTGTTCCTCTACTACTATCTACAGAATCATCTAGTCCATGACATTCTCTCTGCAGAATTCTGGATTCAACTCACTGTGATAACGGCTTCATTTGAACCAGGGAAAACGAACACTAGTAGTAATTAATCAAACAGAATGCTATTTAATAAATCCAAGTAGGTAATTAGGTAGTCATTCAGTAGCTAAGGTAGCCGAGTTAGCCAATCATAGAAATATCTGTGAGAATCACATCTGAAATCTGATCCTAAACACAGATACAATTTCTTTCTTCTAGTATGTTCTCAGTATATACACATCACATCTATTGCTCACCCTCGAAAGTCAGAATGACTTTTCATTTTTTCCCCTCTAATTTTGACTCAGTCTAACAAAAAATACACTCACAGACCAAAGGTGAAGAATGCTACATCTAGACTGCCACAACAATTAATGTACGTGGGAAATGAGTAAAATACTACAAACACTTTGAAAGAACTTCACTCCTAATGAATGTCTCTTCTATAAATGAAAAGAACCAATTAGGACCAGTACAACAATATGCCAGTTTATGTAAATATATCTTAACATAATGAATTGATTGAAACTTAATCATACTCAGAGAGAAGATTCCGTGAAATCCACAGAACTGCTCCAAGACTTGATCAAAGCCATTTCTAACAATATTTTCACCACGTTTTTCCAAAAATAATGATAAAAACATAACACCAGCAGAGCTCCCACAACCAATTTTGTATCATTTACACTGATATCAGATTAAAAAGAAAGTTGTCAGACACCAGTAAAAGGAATTGACGCCTACCATAAATAGAACTGCTATATCCTAGATTTGCCTGTTTAATGGAAATAATCCTCACATCAGGAAACATTGCTAGATAATAAACAATGACACGCAATCCATTACCTCTTTGATTTTATCTCTTTTTTCTAGGATGTCTGGGTCCAAAGGATCGCCACTTTTTATTCCTACAATATTTGGCACTGGGACTGGTGGCAGAGGCTTGCTGCTTTTGGTCTTCAGACCCTTCAGGATCTTATTTTTCTCGGTCTGAATTTCCGCTTGGATCTCATCCCGTGACTTCTGCAGTTTCTCTTTTGCTTCTTCTAGAGCCTTTTCATGATCTGCACGAATTTTATTTCTCAAGCGTTCTTCTTCTTCCCTAATTAAAAAAAAACAGCCATTAGAAACATGGTTGTGGTACACAATCTGAAGGCAAGGGTGGGTGATACTTTTATTAGACCATTAAAAATGTGTAACTGTAAACCAGCTTTCAAACCTGTATGGGTCTTCATCAGGCTAAAGCATCACAGAGCTGTCGAAACTACAAGTACAGGGAAAAAAATTCTAAAAGTCATGGCCAGATTGACTTTAACCCAAGGAGCTTGGTGTGTACATCTTCAAAACAAGAGATTTAGGCACAAGTCACAGGTGTAGATTCTGAATTGCGGCTCTAGTGGTATGGATTGCAGTATCTCTCCCAATCTTGTTAGACAAATGCTTGCCAGTTATTCAGTAACCTCTCACCCCCACCTACTGCTTTATATCCATGGCTCGGTATAGAGATACAGAGAAATATGGCAAATCTGTATTAGAGAAGTTGGGATAAATATTATTCTACATGCTGGGTAAGCCAACTGCAGCCAGACTGAAAGCATCACCAAGAGGCTGAAGGAAGCTGATGCCCTCTATTCACAGTCCTGCTTAATTATGTTAAATGTCCTTCTTTTGCCTGCAGACGGTGCTCTGGCTGGTTATTCAAGATACAGTCATGCCCCGCTTAACGATTGCCCCATATAACGACGAATCCGCTTTACGACGATGTTTTTGCGATCGCAATTGCGATCACAAAACAGTGTTTTTAAATGGGTTTTTTTTCGCTTTGCGAAGATCGGTTCCGTGCTTTGGGAACCGATTCTTCGCATTACGACGATCAAAATAGCTGATCGTCGGGTTTTCAAAATGGCCACCGGGTGCTCAAAATGGCTCCCCACTGTGTTTTTGGACAGATTCCCCACTCTACAGGCACCGAAAATGGCCGCCCCTATGGAGAATCTTCGCTGGACGGTGAGTTTTCAGCCCATTGGAACGCATTGAATGGTTTTCAATGCATTTCAATGGGCTTTTTTATTTCGCTTTACGATCTTTTCGCTCTACAGCGATTTCGCTGGAACGAATTAACGTTGTTAAGCAAGGCACCACTGTATCTTCCACAATCTAGCAAACTGAAAGACAGCAGCATGGTCCTTACAAAATTCTTCATCAGCATTTTAACTATGGAGCCTGGAAGGCACGCCTACCATGATTTTTGAAACCCTTCCGTTTTTTCATGCCACCCACAACTCCGGGGTACTAAGCCTAATGAAGACCCATAGGCCACTGAAAACTAGCTTATTGTAATATTTTTACTGACCCAATAAAGGTATCACTTAGCCTTGACTTCAAATAGTGTAAGAAACAGTACTGCTGTACTGGGTTAATTCTGATGGCTGAAACACTTTCCAACATACTCAAGATTTCACTTTCTCTTGTCACCAGAAATCATCATAATTCCTGCCTAAATGGATGACTTTAAAAGTGGAGTGAACAAATTCGCAGAGTATGAGGCAGCCAACAGTTTCCACTCATTATAAAATTACATCTCCTTCCACCATCTTATGAGTTTTGCCTTTGTTTATCAGCTGCTGATGAGCACAATCTGGAAAGTGCTCTTGCACTCACACAATGTGCTTATGTACTTATCACAGATAACTGGCTGGCCACTGTGTAAACCTGATGTGGGACCAGAAAGATTTCTGCTTTGATCCAGCAGGTTCTCCTTATGTTCTCACATCTTTAATGGATTACAGCTGTACTGAATCTTTTGATGTAGCATGTTTCAGCCATTTATGGGGGTGGAGTGGGAATGCCCTCAAGACTGATTCAGCACACAGTGTCATCATTCTCCCAGAGCAGACTGCTAAAAGAGTGAACAGAATGCTCCAGACAACCGCCAGTCAGGGCAATGACTCTTGTTTTCTCCATTTGAGAAAAGAAAGGAGTCCCTTGCGCCTTATATTTTATTTGAAAATGCAATTAGAATGTTATGCTCCTCCACCAAGGTAGACAGAATCTGTGCATGCACACCTGGATGAGCAAACACACAGTCAAGCTTACTCCTATGGTTTCCAATCCAAAAAGGGAAACCACGTGCAAGCTTCTTTCTCTAAATCAAGGGTTAGAAGAGCACAGACATAAACACACAGAACATACTCATTTACCAATAGGAAATACAGTGATACCTCGCTTAACGAGCGCTTCATTTAATGATGAATCCGCATAGCGATGATTTTTTGCAATCGCAAAAGCGATCGCATTACGATGTTTCGAATGGTAAAAAATCGCTTTGCGATAATCGGTAAGCTGTTTCGCTTACTGTTTTGCATAGCGATGTTTTTAGAACAGCTGATCAGCGGTTCCAAAATGGCCACTGGGTAATAAAAATGGCCGCCCGCTGTGTTTTCGCGCCCATTCCTCGCAGCGAAAATGGCAGCCGTATGGAGGATTTTCTCATAACGGTGAGTTTTTTGCCCATAGGAACACATTACACAGGTTTTAATGCATTCCTATGGGCTTTTTTTTTGCATAGCGACAAATCCGTATAGCGACGATTTTTGCTGCATGGATTATCATCGCTATGCGGGGCACCGCTGTACTACGCTTAGTCCTAGAACATGTCCAGAGTAAAACATGTATTCTAATATTTAAATATAGGTCAAATATTAGTAGGTTAAAATGGAATCTGGCCTACATTTAAATGACAGCATTATTTTAGCATGCAAATGGTAAATGAAAACATCACATCTCACCTCTATTACTATGTAAATATCCTGTGTACACATATGTATACATACTCTAACTGCAACTTACCAAGCTGAAATAAGTCACAATTAAAATAGGGCTACAGTATTTGTATCAATAGAACTTGATATTTATATCAAGGAGATGGCCAGGCTCACCAAAGTGAACTGTCCTACTCTAGTGCAATTTACTACACTAAGCAACAGAGCTTTGTTTTATTTAAGCAATAATGTACTGTATTCAGCAGTTCTGATGACTTTGCAATTGATTCTTAGGATGGGTCTCCATCCTGAGACAGTCACAACAAGCAATGGATGGAAGTTCTTCGTCCAGTGCCAGCTATCTAAGCTGTTAGCCATCTTACATATTAGAACTAGGAGTGGGAAATTCACCACAATGCGTTCTGGGTGGTATTCCTATGACAAACAAAATGTATACTATGGTTATAAAAATAGGCTATTTTAGCCTATTTTAGGACTTGATTCATGAAATAATGTAACAATATGGTGCCCGGCTCTTATCCCAACCAGTTCATTGATTTACATACCAGATAAGACTCAGTGCCCAGCTGCTACCACAATTCCATGTGGACAGTTAACCATATATAAAGTGGTAACTTACAATAGTGGGCATGTAATACAGGTGCTTGATTAAGAAACAGTAAGGTTGAGAAAGCCCTTGCTCATCTTGCCACCATTCTGTCTCTGAAGAACCCAAAACCAGCCTTTGAAGATAATCTTTATTTGTGAAAATAAAGTTCATAAGGAAGAAAGCAGTCCCGGAAACAATCTGTTCACACATCATTTGAACTTTCAAAGGTAAAAGCAGTTAATCTAGCCAGGAAATTGATCAGGCCACATCTCCCTCTATGAGCCTGCCTGGGCATTAAGTTCATATGGGGAGGCCTTTTTCTCATGCCCACCAGCATCATAGGTGCATTACGTGGGGACACAGGAGAGGGCCTTCTCTATTGCTGCTCCCAGAATCTGGAACTCCCTCCCATGGGAGGCCAGGCTGGCCACATCTTTGCTGTCCTTCCGCAAGCAGGCAAAGATCTTCCTCTTTAGACAGGCTTTCCTTTAGTGACAAAAGTGGGTTTTAAAATGGGACTGTTTTTTGTTTTTAAAGTATTGCTTTTATCTTGAGTTTTAATATATTTAATTCCTTTTTAAATAGTGTAATCATTTCTATTTTGTTTTAGTTTTTATACTGTTTGTTTTTTTTTAATGCTGGAAGTCACCTTGGATCCTTTTTAGGAGAAACGCAGGGTAACAATATGAAGTGTAATCATTTCTATTTCGTTTTAGTTTTTATACTGTTTTTTTTAATACTGCAAGTCACCTTGGATCCTTTTTAGGAGAAACGCAGGGTAAAAATATGATAATAAATAATAATCAGGAATCAACTGGATTTTAGAGTGATAGGATAGAAGATCTAGGCACTATATTTTGCACAAACTTACATTTTCAAGCAATCTTCATGGATGGCCCATATGCAATGCATCCCGGTTATCCGATGCAATGTAACCAGAGACCAGATTATCTTCGAAGCTATCTGTTTCTACAGCAGAAATTGCCTTAGATCTTATTGACATCAAGTTATGTTTGAAAGCTGTTTCTGAGATATTTTTTGAGTATGGCCAAAAAATAAATGTGAAAAGAAAACATCAGTATGTGGAGAAATCATACATCATTTCTGCTCATCCTTTTTCCAAAAACATGATTTTTAGATGTTTTCTACCTACTCTCCCTTTCAATCAGGTGTGGAGTTTGTGTAAACTCTGTGAGGTTTATATTTGCACTTCTGTTTATTAAGATCTATACACAATTTTCCACCTAACAAGTGGACTCCAAGTGACATTACAATTAATTGAAATTCGACATTACCTGCAGAGGGGGACAGCGGCCAAATTCAGTTGCTTTTTTCCAAAAAAGCAATAGTGATTCATGACGGTCTGGGGAAATAAATATTTCAAAAACTCACTCCCCACATCTTTACCTGAGTTGTGAGAATCCTTCCAGATATTTCTGTCTTCCAATTCCCATCTGTGGTAGCCAATGAGCAAGGATGGGAATGGTAGTTTAACAACATCTTCAGAGCAACAAGGGAGACTAACCCTTACCACTAGTGCATGCTACCTAGTTATCAAGGCCAGGTTGCACTAAATGCATTTTGTTCCTGTGACAGAATATGCATTCTTTTAGTCTGGTACATGCTGCTTGAAAAACTGTTGAGAAAGCAAGCAAATTATTAAGTTGGCTAATATCAATAGCTGACTAGATAGCTCCAGATGTTTTACTTTCTTGGGCTCCATGATCACTG